TTAGGGAAATGAACACTAAGATATGCATTCAAATGTTTTTTTCTTTCATGTGATTGTTTCTAACAGATTTATAAGATTATGTCTTTGTTGCTTTGTATGTCCCTCCCCCACAGAATAACCGCTGTTTTCATGGCATTTGATGTTGGTATAATTTGTGAGGGGGAAGGGAAAAAACAAATGGTTTAAATAGGGATACAGGTGGACCATTGTAACAATGAGATGTACAAGTCCTTATGTCAAAAAACGTACATTACAACTTTGGTGGGGTGGGGAGTACTGGGGGGGGCAGGAAGAGATGGGAAGGGATGGGAAGGGGAAACAAAGGAGGAAGCTACAATGTTTGATAAGAAATGTACTCCTTATCTTGCCCATGTAATTGTAACCCCTCTGTACAGTATTTTCACAATTAAAAAAATAGTGTCTTGTGCATCTCATTGTTACAATGTGTCATCCCGTATCCTTATTTCAGCATTTTGTCATTTCCCTTCCCCTTCCCAAATTAGGAAAATTTTTATACAAAATGCAGGACACCGGAATCAAATACAGTGACAATGGAGGTTGTACCATGGGGGAAGAACATACAAAGAAACAAAAAAAATCACATAAAACATTATAAGTACATTTAAAAAGAACAACAAGAAAGATAAAATCTCTTGTGTCCCAATCTCGGGGTTCATTTTGCTTAGCATGTGGTTATATGGTCATATGTGCATAACTTTTGACCTCTTCTGCTTGTCCTAGACATATACTAGTTATTGCAGAAAAGGGAAACCATGGGACCTATGTTTCTTTGGGTCTGGCTTACTTCACTTCACATAAATTTTTTCCAAGTCTTTCCATTTCCTAACAAATGGAGGCATAGAATTCCATTGTGTGTGTATATCCCCTCCAGCATCTGCTGTTATTAGAATTCTTGATTATAGCCATTCTAACAGGGATGAGGTAGTATCTCAATGTTGTTTTGATTTGCATTTCTTTTATGTCTAGAGAGGTTGAGCATTTCTTCAGGTATCTATTGGCTATTCATATATCCTCTTCAGAAAAGTTTCTCTTTAAGTCTAGCCCACTTATTCATTGCACAGTTGTTTCCTTGAGGATTTGTTGTTAGGGAATTTAATTTTTTTAGTTCTAAGTATATTTTAGATATGAGTCCCAAGTGAAAATCTTCTCCCAATCCGTGATCTTTTTATTGATCTTGTTAGCTATGTCCTTTGCCATGAAGAAGCTCTACAATCCCATTTGTCCAAACTTTCTTTGACTTGTTATGTTTCTGGGTTCTTATTTAAAAAATTTTGTCTTGTGCCAAGGGACCGTACAGTTTCAATCAGCTAAAATAGACTTCAAATTAAAATTAGCAAGAAGAGACAAAGAAGGCCATTACATACTAATTAAGGGATCTTTCCTTCAAAAGGATATTACAGTTTTCTTTCTTCTCTCTCTTTTTTCTTTTTCCTCATGTAGTATTCCTGTAATTGGCAATTTGCACCGTTCTTATCCAAATGCTTTCAAAAGTACTTAACTTAAGATCCTTATCTCTGACCGCAGATCTTGAAATAAGACCCTAAAAAGATATTCAGAGGGCTGGGAAGGTGGCTCAGTGGTAGAGTGCTTACCTTGCATGCATGAGGCCCTTGGTTTGATTCTTCAGCACCACATAAGCAGAAAAAAAAGCCAGAAGTGTGGCTGAGGCTCAAGTGGTAGAGCACTAGTCTACAGCTGAAGAGCTGAGGGACAGGCTCAGGCCCAGTGTTCAGGTCCCACAACCAACAACAAAAAAAAAAGAATATTCAGGAAATGTATTATGTATTAGTTACATTGTAACACGTCCTCCCCTGTTGAGGAATATTGGCTATCCTCAGCATATTTCAGCATAATTGTTATTCTCACTTGTATCTTGTGGCTTTTGATACAAGAAAGGATAAATGTAAGGAGAAGCACTTGGTTGTCTGGAACATCTAATCCTTTAATGGTATGAGCTAAGGGTCAGGAAATGATTGTCTTTTTCTTTTTCTTTATTTTTCTGTCTTTCTTTTTCTTTCTTTCTTTTTTCTTTCTTTCTTTTTTTTTTTGCTGTTCCTGGGGCTTGAACTCAGGGCTTGAGTGCTGTCCCTGAGCCACTCCACCACTTGAACCACAGTGTCACGTCTGGCTTTTTCTGAGTAGCTATTCAGAGATCAGAATCTCACAGACTTCTGCTTGGGCTGGTTTCGAACAGCGATTCTCAGATCTCGGCCTCCTGAATAGCAAGGATTAGATGCATGAGCCACAAGCAGCCATCTTGGTTGTTTTTGTTAGATGTTTTGGAAGTTTAAAGAAAAAGAATAGCATAAATAAGTGAGACAACTATCAATTTAGGAGAGCGATGCTCAAACTATTTATTTTCAACATATTTTTGGGTCATTTTACCTCAGCTTATGACTGTATACACTTGGTAGGAAGTCCAAGACTTAAATGTGAGAGTTACTGAGTTAAAAAAGATGCATGAACACCCAGGCTTTTTTTTTTATGTTAGCAGAGGACTCTGAAAAGGAAAGAGTCAGACAGTGATATCTAGCATGGCTAGTCTCTGTACAGTTGTACCTATCAATAATGACATATAAAGGTTATGGAGCAAAATGTATCTCAATATTTATAGTCACTAAAGAGTAACAATGTTAGAGATAAATTTTATTTGTTTCACTATAACTTTAAATAATCTGAAGATACAAAAGTATTTTACCTAGAAAGGAAAAAACAACATAAAAGAAACATTATGGAATTTTTAAGTTGATAGGGCCATTTTCCCCTAGGAATTATAAACTATTTAATTATCCATATTTACCACAACCTGGCAGCATATTCTACAAGCAAGAAAAAAATTGAATTTACTAGAATTATAAATTGGAATCTTTTTTAAAAATTAAAAAAAATTATTGCCAAGGTGATGTACAGAGGGGTTACAGTTAGATAAGTAAGGAGTGAGTACATTTCTTGTCTAACTTGTTAACCTCACCCTCATCTTTCTCCCTCTTTCCCACCACCAATTACCCCCCCCCCTGCAGTTATACAGATCATTTCCAACATATTGTCTTGTGAGTATCGCTGTGATATAGGCTCCCCCTTTGTCCCTTGTCTCACAATTTTGTTGTTCCCCTTCCCTCCCCTAATTCAGATAAACATATATACAATACTCAAGGGTACCAAAATCAAATACAGTGACAAGAGGGGATAAACCATTGGGGGGAAACACAAAAGAAAAAGGAAATCATGTAATACATTAAGAACAACAGCAATTTCATTATAATTTAAATTTTTAATCCACAAATGGTGTACAAGGGGGCTACTATTTTACATGTTCATTTACAAATACAATTCATCTTGACCAGATTCACCCCTTCCATTGTTCTCCCTTCCCCTCTTCCCTCCCTTTTCCCTTGCCAATCACATTGTTTCCCAAAGAAACATAGGTCCCATGTTTGCTTAGCAAAGGTGAGGTTCTAAGTACAAACCCTAGTACTGTGCCTCTCCCCAACATCAACTGATACAGTAATGAACCTTGTGCAAGAATTGAAGAAGCATTCTTTCCTGCTATGATAATAAATACAAAGCATTATGATTAATATCTGTCTCTACCATTGGATAATTCTCTCCCTGACGTCGGTGATTTTGTAACCTTGATCTGCCATCCTACCACTAGTATCTAATATGTAACCGATTGACAATAAGATATGAGGGAACATCTGTAAGCTGAGAGTAAAACCTGTTAAAAGACAAACATTTCATTAAATTAATAACTTAGAAGGGAGAAAAACAACTCTAATCCTATAACTGAAAAGCAAGTATATCAAGCATAATACACATGGGCACAGGTTGTATTAGTGTTGTAGCACAAAGGAAGAGTGAATGTGGCCAGCTTGGTCAAGACTTTTTCACTGGGTATTGCTAACAATCCATACTCATCAGAGAATCATAAGGCTTAAGTAGTGAAGGCCATGTGAGTTTATTCAATACCTCTGACTCCAAACTAGAAAATTTGTAGGGGCTAGACTTTTGGATGAATGAACTACTACAACTTGTAAAAACAAACAAATGAAAAAAAAACTAAATAAAAGGCAGACTTGATACTTAAGAATTGATATTTTATTTTGCAATTATGTTTTTTCTACTAACTCAAGGATAATGACACCACAATATAGCAATTTCTATGACACATGGTGCTTAAAGAGCATCATGAAGAAATTAGATTCCAATCCATGATTGAAAGACAAACCTGAAATCAGGTCTAAATCTTTGCTAATGGTGAGATGCATATTTCCCAGGTTTTGTGATATTACATTTCTTTATTTTTTTGGGGGGGTCTGGTCGTGGGGCCTGAACTCTGGGCCTGGGTGCTGTCCCTCAGCTCTTCAGCTCAAGGCTAGTGCTCTACCACTTGAGCCACACCACCACTTCCGGCTTTTTTCTTTTTGCTTATGTGGTGCTGAGGAATCGAACCCAGGGCCTCAGGCATGCAAGGCAAGCGCTCTACCACTGAGCCAACTTCCCAGCCCTACAGTTCTTTATTTTTAAGCTCAACAACAGATAGACATACACGAATATTCACTGGAATGTGGGGAATCCCGGGTCTTCCCCCCTAATCTCATTAGTGCCCCTTTTACCTCCTTGTTCCTCAGGGTATAGATGAGGGGGTTAAGAGTTGGAGTCACCACAGTGTAGAAAAGGGTAAGAAATTTGCCCCGTTCATGTGCATATGGATTTTTAGGTTGAAGGTAGACCCCTGTGACTGTGCCATAGAAGAGGGAGACCACCAGGAGGTGAGAAGTGCAGGTGCCCAAGGCTTTCTTCTGTCCAGCTGTTGACTTTATCCTCAGCACTGCCTTCGCAATAGCACAATATGAGCAAAGGATAAGGATCAAGGGCACCACAAGGAGAATAATACTGGCTATGGACATTAGGACTTCATTGTAGGTAGTGTCTGTATTGGAGAGCTGGATCAGGGCTGGAACTTCACACACAATATCATTTATCATTTGATGGGAGCAGAAGGGTAGCTGGAGGGTAGTGGAGGACTGGATCAGAGACTGAACCAAGCCAGT